CACCTGTTAAGGCTGAGTTTTACTGGTTAACTAGTTAAACCTTCACATCTCTAACAAGCACCCTATCAACAGGGGGACCAGCTCTGTGTTCTTGGGGAACCAGGGCATAGTATCCAGATTGTCTGTCTCACAAAAGACCTCTCCCCCCACAACCAGGCTCTGCATGAACCAAAGCCGATGAGAAGAAAGCCTTAAAAAAAAGCTATGACAAGGCAGGGGAAAACACACCTGAACGCCTCTGGAAACTCCCGTAGCTTCATTTCCATCAAAGATTGCACAGAAAGGAATCTCCATTAGCATACAGAATGGAGAACAGAAAGTCCAAGGCAAGATGTGCACTGAACGTGGGACCCAAAAAGCAGGGAGCATTGCCTAATGCGAAATCTCTGCTCCAGATGCTAATGAACCCATGCTTGCACCCATCCAGATCAGTAATTATAAGACAAATTCTGGTAATAAATCTTCTATTGGTATCCAAAATACTGAAACTGCCTAATTGCATTATGAGCTCCCTGGAAGGAATACAGCCTATCGCCAGGAATGATCAGTTTCTATTGTCTAGACTAAACAAAATAACTTTGGAATACTCCCTTGAATCATCAGTTCATTCATAAATAAATCTCCCTTGAACCACTGTTGTTTCCCCAAGGGTTCTGATCCTTGCATCCAAATTCTGAATCAGTTCCAGTGGGGTCTTGACTGATCATGTTGGGGGCTCTGCTTGTCTCCAGCCCTCCAGACTTCCAGCCCCCAACACCACCTGACCAATTCAAGCTTCACTGAGTGGAGAGATCCAGTATGTGCTCTCTTGCACTCTTTCTGTGCCTTCTGACTGTGCCTTAGGTGATGAGCTGTGGTTTGCTAGCCCTAGCTTTTGTAATCAGATTTAAGTTAGATTTGAATATTGTAACTGTTTTGTTTGTTTGGGTCCCTTGTATGGTTACTACCTGGAAATAAATAACTTTCATGGTTAAGCTGTAACTCAGCCATGAACTTTCATGGTTGCTTCTATCTCTCTCGGTCCCCTTCACTCCACTAACGAATGGGGTTTGGGGAGGGGGCTAGTGTCAGAGTTACTTGCTCTTTTAGGTAGCCACTAGCAATTGTCCCAAACTAACACCATCCAAGACCCAGTTCAGGTTACTTTGAATTTAAGTTGATTTTATTGTCACAACAAAAAGGAGAGATCATCATAAAATGAGGAAAAGCTATGAGGAAATAAACTCATGGAAACAGATACTACAGAAAGGAATGCTAAGTGAGCATAAAGCTCAAGTTACAGAGTACTGAAATTTTACCTACGCAGTATAACAGAAAAAAACCTTGTTCTCCCCTCAACCTACTACTGTCCATTTCAGGCCTTTAGAAGAAAACTCACTCACATGTTCAGCGGGGTATGTGTATGTCAAATACTTTCATTTTATGGTGTTCTGCTTAGGTCATTTAGCATGCACCATCACCTCCCCTGAACAGTAATTAACTTTTAACTTGTTTTGCAATAAAATGAAATGCATTCCTTTTCAGATGCCAGATTACTCTAAAAAAAATCAATGCTACTTTATGTTTTCCAATTCATATGAACATTTAAGCAATACTGAGTCTGAGTCTAACTTCACTTAAACTGGTGCAAAACAGAAGCACTGTAAATTCCAACAAAGTCACCTGTGTTATGGGGGATCAGAAGCAGACTCAGTATTTTTAAGTATCCACAGCTTCATTGTCATATAGAGCTTTTGTTCAACTTGCTAACAATCCAAATGCAGGGAATGTTTTGGAAAAGCTCCTATCTGTTCAGGGCTGAGGGCTGCCTCCCCCACTCAGCCCTTAGCACTGCCTGAACCATGCCACAGTGGGCTCCAGCAACCATTTAAAGGGCCTCGAGCAGAGTTTCTCAATCTTTTTTTTAATATAAAGTACCCCTTTTAAAAAAAAAAAAAGTTGTAAGTACCCCCAGTACCTACAGTTTTCAGACACACACAATTTTCTTCTACCATTGCAACACATTTGTTTAAACAGCTTAATCATAGCCGGGCAGGCAATGAAATTGTTGGGGGTAAAAAGTACAAAAATAATAAAGTGCTGTAAAACTTGAAGCAAAAAATTCTGTTTTTCCCCAAATTTCAGTTGTGTTGAAATACCCCCCAGACTTCTCTCAAGTACCCCTAAGGGTACTCGTACCACTGGTTGAGAAACACTGGCCTAGAGCACCGGCAGCACCAGGTACACCTTTTAAATTGCCAGACCCCATGGCAGTTTCTTCATTTCCCCCCCACTGTTGGTGGCCTGTTCTGTTCTGCCCCAACATGACACACCTGCAAGGTTTGTTCAGCCTGAAGGGGGAAGAGCTTAGAAGGAGAAAACTTACGGCAGAAAGGAGCAGTGAACAGAAAGAAGGCTGCTCTGTCCCAGAGACTGCTGATAACCAAGGTGCTCTAGCCAAGGAGGCTACAGGGCACACGGCTCACAAAGCTGGCCTAACTGACTGGAAAGCAGTATGCCCCACGAGGAATGGCAGAAGGTAAACCCCACAAAGGGACAATACTGCTTGAGGAACTGTCCATCATTTTAGCCAGATGCTCCTCTCTTGCAAGGGGAAGTGAGGAGGAGAAGCCAATCTTTTGCCAGTATGTGTTTGCCTCAAAGAGTTTCCTATTACTCTTTCCTAGTACTATTAAGATTCCTTTAATATGGTCAATGGTTAAAGCACAGAACTACCGATAATTGTCCTATCTAGTCCTATCTTTACCACAAGCGTTGGGCAAACTATTGAATCTCTCAATGCCTCCTTTATTCCACCTGTAACATGAGGATAATAAAGTACTTAGTTCTTCAAAAGAAAAGCACACCTATTGTCTCTATCCAATTAACAGATCTTCAACAATAATGCTTGGAGACCCTACCAAGCAGTTGGGAGAAGGTAATATCTGAAGTGGAATAGGAACTAAGCTACCCATCCAATGCTAGCTGCAGATAGCTGTGAAAAGACCAGCAGGAGAACCGAGAATGAATACTTGGCATGAAAAAAATAACAGCCAGGAAGAGTCAGTGCTGAAGTAATTCCTACAATTTGTGCATGTACTATTCCATAGTAACAAAGGGATTGAACAGTATTAGAGAACGAAATGGACAGATCCAGCATAAGACTGAGTCATATAAAAGACATAAATCACCTGAAGAAATCTCCATTAAACTTCAGACATTACTCTTAATCATCACTAGGCTTAAGTCTGTCCCCTGGGAGATGCCCCAGTTAAACATTCTAATCATGTGTATTGTACAAAATGATAGCAAGCAGCCATCACATCCCCAAAATATTACTTCATACAAGAAATTCTCAAAAGATCTGGAATTTTAAAGCATACCCATTACAGTGACAAAACCTCGTGAAGAATTAACATAGGCATAACTTGAGGTAAGATCTCTATTAACGTTGGTGGCGCCTTTCCATTGTAAAGGATCATTTTCAGTTGCTTTTAACTTTCACAGCGTTTTTTTATTTCAAATGAAATCTGGTACACTGACTCTCAAATCAGGGAGCTTTTAGCTATTTATTTCCACTAAAAATTTCATCAAAAACACTGAGCTACTTTCAATCAAAGAAAAAGGGGGGGATGCCATTTTCTATGTGCACAAAAAAAAATTAGTAATTAAAAACAGTTCTTGTGCCTCAGTGGGAGGTGCTGGAAATTTGAAATTTGGCAGGGATGTTAAACCTAGGAGATGTTTTCTAGTGGTCCAGAGAAAATAATTTTTGGTGTGGCAGAGTCATAAGGGTTTAACAATGCACTTCCCGTATTTACATTGTTTTATCATCGAACAAAAAATAGTCTGCCAGTGTTTCACTGGCAATGTTACCGCCCTCATAAATGGATTAGTAATTTTCATGGACTAGATACATTCAACCTGTTGTGTCCATATGCACCTGTAAGAAAGCTGAATTGGATTTTAGGTTCTTTTTTTTTTAAATATGTAGATGCTTTGTGGAATGTGGTACTGCATAAGGAATCAGGGTTCAAATAATAAAGGTGCATATGGAAGAAGACAGGATTCTGAAGCAGGCTTATCCAAGGTTAAGTTACAATATATTTATATTAGAACACACAAGCTGCAGCCTTACTGGGGCTAGATTTTGTGCTGCACCTCTCAGGAAGAAGAGATATAAACCCACCTTAACTTTGCCTGCTCCTGGAGCAGGTACTGCCCTTAAGACTGCTCTTACAACAGTCGCCACATGGCTCCTAATGAAGTGTTTCACTGTTCAAAACAGCTGAATTGCTAAATATAACGACTATTCTCCCACCCCTGGCAGCGTACTGTCAAAGTGATATACAGGTGCCACAGGTGGCTACGATCTGCCCTCTGTCTTTAATTATATGATCACTTCCTATTTTTTTCTCCTCACAGAATGCATAATTTATTCACTATGCACTATGGATTATGTTCAGTGAAAGAGGCAGATTTTTTCCCCTCATTGTTTGTGTGGTCCTGTACTTTATACATTGCACACCATCAAAACTCTGCTCAAAATAGAATTTTTCCTTCATTCATGGACAGTCTTATGATGCCACTCACAAGCTCATCGGCTCACTTAATGTTACTGACTTTACTTTCAGAATAACCCTGACAGCTGAGGGAAACTGAGGCACAGAGTGATCATGTAATTTATGCAAGAACACACCAAAATGAGACCTAGTTCTGCATCTTCTACACAAGAGCATTCTTTTCCCTCCCTGAGGATCCGGTCTTACTTCAATACTATATCACCTTCACAGCCAGCTCTACCACTTCAGTCAAAGATCCAAAGATGCTCTGAGCACAGGCATCTCCAACCTGCATACTGAAAGAAAAAGGAGCCCTGTGGAAAAAAATACTATAGGACCACATTTTAAAGCTTCAGTTATAAATACAACATACATGCAGAGTATGGAGTTATAGCAAATATGGGAAAAGAGCCTTACAAAGTCAAACACACTAAACAGGAAGAGTAGCAGGCCACTTACTATCTTTTTGCTCTCTTCCCTATGGCCCAGTTCTCGAATTCTCTCCATGATGGCCTCCTCAGAGGCTTTAACAGTTACAGAGCTATTGCTGAGAAGGGAAGCAACTTGCCCTTTAAAAGCACTCAGCAGGCTCTGAGCAGTCCTGGCCTCTTCTATGCTGCTCTTCAGACTCGCATCCAGCTCACTGGAACATCTCTTCATGTGATGCAGTTCCTGCTTTGAGGCTTCCCAAGCCTTCTGGCTAGCAGCCAGACTCTCTTGGAGGACTCTGATCTCCCTCTCTAGATTCTGTCTGGCTGTCAAAGCACTCTCCAGGTCCTAAAATATGGGAAAAGCATAAAACCAGGCTTAACACAGGTCAGAAACAAAGAAGGGGGAATAAATGGCTAATTTTCAGCATCAAGAGAGACAGTAGCAGAGAGGTGCTGGAAGAGGAAGTTACTTTTCTTGTGCAGTAATGATGTTTCTGGGAGATGTGTCCCCCTGGGAGTGCTCCACTGTCGGTGTATATGCACTCCCTCTGCCACTCAGAGACTTTTGTGGTGAGTGTCTATTAGGGATATTAAAATGTGTTTAAAAAGGTAACCGTCTAACTGCTAAAAATCCTGGTGATTATTTGCTTACATGCTGTGGGCTCTACAGTATAAAACTTAAATAAGCTTTATACTGCATAGCCTGCAGCAAAGCCTCCCCAGAAATGAGGCCACCAACTCCTGTCAGCCCTGCTCCTGGGGAGGAGGCTTTGCTGTGGGCTCTGCAGCCAGCTCCCCAGGAGTTGGGCTGGCAACCCTTGCTGTCCCCAACTCCTGCAGAGCCAGCATGTAACCTGCAGCAGCAGGGAAACTTCTGAGCAATATGGGACTCTCTCAGGCACCAGACACAACGAGTGTGTCCGGCAGTTACATGAATCAATGCTTAGAGTCTTCTAAAAGCCCAAGTGGCATTTGTTTTGGGGGGTTGGGATTTTTTTTAATCCTAACATGGTAGAGAGGGAATATTAGCTATTAAGGAAAATAAAAGAAATAAAAACAACTACTATTTATGCCAATGATGGAGGTAAGAAAGGGGAAATTGCTTGATCTGTTGGAGGCCAAAGGCTCTTGAGAAGGAACGGATAGCCTTGAGGCAACAGAGTGCAGGCACTGTTACCAAAAAATTGCTGATTAGAGGTGCGGGAGCGCACACACACCCTCACACCTACAGTGGAGCACTCAGAAAGCCACATACCTCAACGAAGAACTGGTATCGTTAGGACCAAAGTTATTGATTATGGGTCCAATCTTGCAAGTCCTTCACAGATAGAATACTTGTTGAGCTAACAGGAGCCCCACCAACAGAGAGCAGGCAGTATCTGCCCTACATTTAGTATCAATGACCCTCGTGGTACACAGTGAATGGAGAAGTAAGATTTGAAGATGACACAAAAGTACTTATAGCTATAAAATATAAACATTGCTAGATTGTGATGATACCTGTTAAGAAAAAATTGTAACTGGGCAAAGTCAATGATGCATGGAAAATTTTTAAAAACAACAACTAGTCTAGTAGCACCTTAAAGACTAACAAAACATGTAGATGGTATCATGATCTTTCGTGGGCACAACCCAGAAGTGCCCACTAGATTGCTTTTCTTCTAGCCACTAGTGACAGGGTTACCACCCACATCTCACAGGCACCCCCATTGGTTGATGGTTTCTTCAGTTGGCTTCAGTGACTCAGCACTTCAGCCAAGTCATATACAGCATCTATACGTCAAACAGAACAAACCCCTTCTGAGTCTTTACCTCCTCCCAGTCCTTGTATGGTGCCATACCCCCAGGGCTTCTGCCTCTGAAACACTGTCTTTCTGCAGCCTTCCCTGGACTCACTTCCTGCTCAGTCCCACAGTCAGCCAGGAGCTCCTTCTTAGCTCTGCAAATCTCTGCCCACACTGAGATGTCCCTGATCCTACTGCTCTTTCAGCCAGCCAGAACCGTGGTCCTCTCTCTTCTAGCTCCAGGCAGCTACTAAATAGACTTCTTCTCTTCCATTCCTTTGTATGTGGCCCTCCTTCAGCCCCTCTGATTGGCTGCTTCCCCTGCAACCACTCTAAGCCTCTCCTCTCTGGGACCAGATGTGGAAGGAGCCGGAAAAACTCCAACAGGGGGTCTCGGGGACTAGTCCATCCCATCACAACACCCTTTGTGGTCATTTATGTCATCTCAGAACACACTGGTGGAATTTGCTTGGCAAAACAAATGGTCAACTAGGACAGTCAATTGACCCCAGCATCTGTTCGTCAGGTTTTGATCTGCCAAAGCACCTATGGTCATCTCTGAACCAGTTTTGAACAGGACAGGGCAACTGTGTGGCCAATCTCTTCAAATTAATTTTTTTCTATTGATGCAGTGACCGTCAACTTTAGCATATCATTGTCAAGTGCTCACTGATTTATTTCAATGGGAGGCTACTGTCCGTCCATCTGGTTGATGATGTCATTAAATAGTTGGGCAGAGAGTGCACGCGCCAATGGGTCTGGACTCTACAGGTTTAGGGGACGTGGCAGGGCAGGTGGGGCAGGACAGCAGCTCTGTCCAGCATCCCTGTAGAATAGTCTTTAAAAATGTCTGATGAAGTTAATCCTTGCATAGTCTATGCCCCTTAAAGGGAATGTACACAGCAGAGAAACACAGAAAGACAATGATAGCAAAGATCCCAGAGAGGTAATGTTGTCATAAAATACTGGAGTCTGGGGAATATTGCATAGGAACTGCAGCTCTGTGGATACCCCAAAATCCTGGGAATAGTCTGATGGATCTCTTTGGATCTCAGTTATAGAGCCATGACCTTTGCCTCCTCTTATGTGAGCTCACAAAACTTGCCAAGTAAATTTCCTCTTCTTTGTGATGATCCAGGCATCAGTTTGAGAAAGAGATAAAGATGTGCAGATATGTCAAGGATATATAAAATAATGAATGATATAGAGAAGGCCAGTTGGACAGTACTGCATACCCCGTCCAGTGATACAAGAACAAGGCATCATTCAATGAAAGAGAACATATTTTAACACAGACAAAATCAAAAACATAGCTTGCTTCATTTTATCAACCTGTGAAACTCTTTGTCCCAGGGTATTCATGAAACAGTTCAATTTCTTTTAAAGCATTATATATTTATGTGAATGAGAATAAAATCTGTTGTCAAACTAGTTAGGATTACAATGTAGAAAGGAACATAATCCTTCACACTTCAGGGAATACTCTGATTAACAACTAACAATGGGAAGGAATTTCCCTTCCCACAAGACACAACTTTACAGGAACAGGTAGGTGGGTATATTTACAGGGAGCCTTTTGCGTTCTCCAGAAGCATCAGGTTTCAAATACTATGGGAGGCAGGATACCATACTTAAATGGCCAGTTTTGTTGCAGTGTCATAATCCCCTATGTTAAATACATTTACAAAAACCACAGAAACAAAAACCTGTTGAATAAATACTTGTCATTATTCATTATTAAACTAATTTTAGAATTGCCAACCAAATCTTGGCAAGGGTCCATTTTATCTCCTTTTTCAACTGTAAAACAGTCCTTTTAACAGTGCAATTATTGCAGTGCCAAAAATAAAATTATAGCTATTACAGAAAAGAATGAAGGGAAATCTACTCCAATTACAATATTATTTAATCAAACTGTAAATTTCCTTTCACAGGTGCAGCACAATGAGAGCTAGCAAGAATCAGTGTGAACATTGACCAGTTTTGATCTGTTTATTTTTTTAAAAATTTACAAACATAAAAACAATTGCTCCAAAAGACTACAGAACTGAAATGACAAATTGAACAAAACAGTTCAAAAGGGACATAATTATTGCGCTTCTTTCTTATTTTAAGTGTCATGGGTTATGGCAACCATTTATTTTTTTTAAAACTTTCCTTTCAAGAGCCATATTTACAAATCAGCTGAGGACTAAATCTTAAAAAAATAAACAAATGCAAGCTGCAAAATAAAAAATTTAGTAAAATTCCCTTTTAATATTGCAATGCTGAACAGTCTGGCTACGTCTAGACTGGCATGATTTTCCGGAAATGCTTTTAAGAGAAAAGTTTTCCATTAAAAGCATTTGCGGAAAAGAGCATCTAGATTGGCACGGACGCTTTTCCGCAAAAGCACTTTTTGCAGAAAAGCGTCCATGGCCAATCTAGACGCACTTTTGCCCAAAAAATCCCTGATAGCCATTTTCGTGATCGGGGCTTTTTTGCTCAAAACAAATCTCAGCTGTCTACACTGGCCCTTTTGCGCAAAACTTTTGCGCAAAAGTGACTTTTGCCCGAACGGGAGCAGCATAGTATTTCCGCAAAAAGCACTGATTTCTTACAGTAGGAAGTCAGTGCTTTTGCGGAAATTCAAGCAGCCAATGTAGACAGCTGGCAAGTTTTTCTGGAAAAGCATCTGATTTTCTGGAAAAACTGGCCAATCTAGACACAGCCTCTATGTATATGTACTTAATAGGGCTGTCTATTAATTGCAATTAACTCATGCAACTAACAAAAACTTAAACGTGATTATTAGTAGTTTTAATGACACTATTAAATTGAAGTGAAATTTATTAAATGTTTTTGATGTTTTTCTATATTTTCAAATATATTTAATTCGGTTACAAAAAGAATACAAAGTGTACAGTGCTCCTTTTATCTTATTTTTATTACAAATATTTGCACTATAAAAATGGTAAACAAAAGAAATAGTATTTTTTAATTGGCCTCATACAAGTACTGTAGTACAATCTCTTTATTGTGAAGGTGCAACTATATAAAAAAATGTTGGTAACATAATTACATTAAAAAAAAGCAATATAAAGCTTTTAAACCTACAAGCTCACCTCAGCCAACTGATAAAAAAAAATTGTTTACATTTACAGGAGATAATGCTTCTCACTTTTTATTTACAATGTTACCTGAAAGTCAGAAAAGGATTCACACTGCCTCTTGTAACAGGTATTGCAAGGTATTTACATGCCAGTGCCAGAAACGCTAAGGCCTTATCTCCACTTGCCAGAGGATCATTGCTCTGGCATTCGATCATCCAGGGTTCAATTTAGCAGGTGTAATAAAGACCCACTAATTAGAACTCTGAGGGCACCCCCGTCATCACCGGTACTCCTTGCTGTTGTGAGAAGTAAGGGAAGTTGACGAGAGCATTTCTCCCATTGACCTCTTGCTGTGGGGCCACCCCAGAAAAATCGGTGCAAGGTACATTGACTCCAACTGTGCAAGTCACGTAGGCGGAGTTGCGTATCTTGCATCAATTTTCTCCGCCAGTGTAGATATGGCCTAAATATTTATTATGCTTCTTCATATTTCAGTCACTTTTCCAGAGTACATGATTCCATGCTGATGATGCTCATTAAAATAAAATAATACATTAATTAAACCTGTATGTTTCCTGAGGTTTTACCTGCATTCAACCATATATTTCATGTTATGGCACACTCAGATGATGATCCAGCACATGCTGTTCATTTTAAGAACACTTGCACTGCAGATTAGACAAAATGCAAAGATGGTACCACAGTGTGAAACTTTTAAAGATAGCCAGAGTACTCGAGCCAAGGAGTAAGAACCTGAAGTGCCTTCCAAAATCTGAGAGATGAAGTCTGAAGCATACTTCCAGAAACCTTAAAAGTGCAGCGCTCTTATGTGGAAACTACAAAACCCGAACCACCGAAACGGAAAATCAACTTTCTACTAATGACAATTTGACTTAGATGATGAAAATGAACATGCATTAGTCCGCATTGCTTTGGATTGTTATTGAGCAGAACCCATAATCAGCATGAACAAATGTCCTCTGGAATGATGGTTGAAGCATAAAGGGACATCTGAATCTTTAGCACATCTGGCACAAATATTTTATGGCACCACCTATTACACTTTCAGATGACACTGTAAACAAGAAGCAGGCAGTGTTATCTCCTGCAAATGTAAACAGACTTGTTTATTTGAGCAATTGGTTGTACAGGAAGTAGGATTGTGTGGACTTTCTAGGCTCTAAAATTGTACATTGTTTTACTTTTAAATGCAGTTACTTTTTTACATAATTCTATATTTATAATTTCAACTTTCATGATAAAGAGACTGCACTGCAGTACAGTATTTTATTAAGTGAATTGAAAATACTATTTCTTTTATTTTTACAATGCAGGTATTTATCATAAAAAAATCAATATAAACTGAGTACTGTACATTTCATATTCTCTGTGGTAATTGAAATCAAAATATTTGAAAATGTAAAAAAAATCCAAAAATACTTAAATAAATGGTTTTCTATTCTTTGTTCAATAGAGTGATTAATCAGGATTAATTTTTAATAATTTGATAGCCTTAGTACTTAACACATTTTTAATTAACAATTTTAATTAAAAATTGCCAATCTTAGTAAATGTTGGAACTGCAGACAAGAAAATGCCAATCTCTCAGATATTCAGTGTTCATCAGAAATTGTCCATATTACAAGCCAGATCCACAAACCACTGACATCAATAAAAATCTCTAACTGACTTCAGTGGATTTGAAATCACAGATTGGCTATGTCTATAGCTACGCAAATTGCAAACTGCAATTTGCGTCGCTTTTTCTGCTTCTTTTTCAGAAGAGGTTTTTCTGACATTTGGCCTGTCTACACTGAGCCAAATGTCAGTAAAAAAAACTTTTTTCGGAACATCCTTTCTTCCTCATAAAACGAAGTTTACAGGGATGCCTAAAAAGCACATCTGCTTTTTTGGACATTTTCTTTAAAAAAGCAGACATGTTTTTTAGATGCAGTATTGCTTTACCTCCGGTATCCCGGAAAAACTTTACAGTGTAGACGTAGCCATTGTGGAGTCATGCTGCTAGACAGAATTTCTCCATATACAAGTCAAATGAATATTTATGATTCTGAAGTATGAGTTTATTATACAATACAAAAAATCTGGCGTCTGACAGGCAGGATGCTTCACTACCAGTTCTTCAAACGGAATTTTTAAGAAAACATTTTGTTAAATATTATTCAATATTATTTCTCTAACTGAAGAACAAATTTTACAGAATTTTTTTAAAAATAAATCTGGTACTGATTGCATCTCCACGGAAGAATACTTACAATACTCCCTCAAGTATATTTCAAGGAATAAAATATGGATTACTTAGCATACATTTCTACTCATCTTTCACTCTCCTGCCTCAGAGAAAAATGCTCTATACGTTTAGACTGGCATACATAATGTCTTCCTAGTTATCAATTTGAGAAGACAATAACCTGGGAGGTATAGTTGTTGAATGAGAATGAAAATATCACTTTGTTGACATACAGAAAATATCAACTCTAAAACACAACTCTCTAACAAAAGCATTTTTAATGTAATATTTTTGAGGCTTCATAAAATTGAAGGTGATAAACAAATAGTTTAATAAAATAAATAAACAAAAATGTATCTCCATTCAACACCCTAGCTTGATAGTTTTCAAAATAATTTTTGTGGGTAACATCATGTTGAAATCTTACATCGTTTACTTTTATTTCTTGGCAGATTATTCTACTGAAAAATACATTTTTCTAGAAAAAGATCTCTAAACCACACAGACATGCACACCAGAAAACAATTTACCTTGCTAAGCTTGTCCATGTCTTGGGAGTAAGTTACAGCCTTTTTCTGCTCTTTGCTCACTCCTGAAACAAGCCTCATGATGGTTTCTCTGCTAGCTTTTGACTCGATCTCATGACTATTGATAGCCTCTGCAAGAGTGGCAATCTGCCCTTTTAGCATCATATTTTCTTTATGCAGCTCGCTGACCTAGACAGACACATACAATTCAAATAATACATATTACTACAATTCTTACACTGTTTCCTGACAACAATCGTCTTCACTAATTCAAGTGCATTTTCTGTTCCTCATAATCATAAAAATGTTGTTTGCAAAACCTTTAAGGTCATATCTATGACTACGTTCTGTTATTCATTTCCAATGTTTCCCTGTAAACAAAGCAGAAAAAGAAGAAAAACTGGAGCCCAATATACCACAAAAAAAGTATGCCTTTGAATACCAAATGTTAATTTGGTTTAGTTATCCGCATACAAATTCTCAGCACTATATCAAACATTATCATCTAGAGGGCTGTTGTCATTTCTGCATGTCCACTCCAATGATAAGATTGGGCAGAAAATAAAAATAGATTATACAACTATATTAATGTGGGAAGCAGACAGCTTTTCCATTAGACTTATGGCTAACAAGCTTTTGGAATGGGAAACCAGCACAGGACATTGAGAAGTGATTTTACATTTGAAATATTCTGAGCCATAGGGAGCCATGTGATTTGGCACCAGATGCTTCTTAGCCATATAAGAGAGTTGGGGTATTTTGTAAACAAAATTACTTGAGGGGCTCTTTTGAGCAGCAGCCAGAATTCAGGGAAAAACAAGGCTCAGGCATGATCTTGATCTGCTGAGGTAATGCTGCAGCAACTCCAAAGAGCGCAAGTTTCCACAGGTCTAGAACCCAACTTGCACTCTTCCCATGACCTACTGTGGATACAGACCATGGGAAATTCCACCTCAAGGGCCTTACAGACAGCAGCCCCATGGCTCCAACTTGGCTCACTGCCCTATATAAACCCAAGGGACATGCCAAGAAGTGTACAGGCAATAGCATGGATCGTCTCTAGTTGCCATGACCTTTTCTGGTCCTTGCATGACCTCAGCTTGATTTAAACACCACCACCTGACTCAGACCTTGAAACCTGACCTGGACTCTGACCCTCAGTATTGACACTTGCCTGGACCCGACTACAAACTACTCTGCTGCTCCCAGCCTCAGGTTTGCCACTGCCCGGTCCTTTGGCTCTGAGAATCAAGATAGGTGTGGCTATAAACATGGGGTGCGGAATATCTCATGACACTTCAAAATGAGCAAAAAACATACAGGATTATATGTTCCCTTGTGTCCTGCTGGAATGATGACACTTAAGGTGGAGGTGCTCCTATTCTGTCTTTAACTCAGGTCATTAGTGGGAGAAAAGGGACACAGATAAGGGAAAATAATATCCAGAAAAAATACTCCATGTTCTAAAACACACTGTCTCCATAAAAGGAGACAAAGGTGCAAAGGTGGAAAGACTAGAGAGAGAGTGCAAAAGATGTCTACATTAGGGCAAACAGATGGTGCAGGTGATTTCATTTTCCTGAATGGGAGCTCAGCTTTCAAAAGTTTGAGACATGCCAGACGTGAAAGGTACTAAAGATTTTGAGCTTAGTTCTGAGATAAGGCTATACTCAATGAATGACTACATTTATTTGTACCTTGTAGTAATTGTGAGTGTTTTGATACAGGGGCAGATTTTAGGTTGTTTCAGTGTGTATCAATGAGAATGTTTCTGTTTAATGGCATGAATGCATTAAATAAGTATTAAGAATAATGCCAGGATTCTCATATTGCAATTCTATAGTTTTTAGCATTTTTAGACAAGCATTCAATTGTACTTATTTTCTTGATTTGTACTTAATCATAAATTAGTATTATATGAACATACATTAGGCCTCTCTGAGTTCAGTGAAGCTGTGGGAGATCAAAACCTCTAGAAACCACAACAATATGTGTAAACACTATTGCAAATTGTAGTATTTGCTCTATATTCTTATTTGACCACAACATTCTGATCTTGTATATATAAGTGGTTAAAACAGGCGTTTCATTTTTCTAAGATAAAAGGAAATTGCTCAATACAATTTTCTGCATCAAACTATTTCAAAGACAGAGCACCCTTGCATATGAATATCTATTAGAGCAATATAATGCAGTTAAATATTTAACAAGTCTCTTCAGTATGTGGAAAAAAATAGCTGCAGATAAACACCTTTGAAATTAAATGTTTGTGTGGTTCCTCTTTTCCTCTGATGTCTACGTCCAGGAATCCAGAAAGCTGTGCTAAGAATTCACCATGCTTCCAGCTGATCTCAGAAACTTGATTCTTGCTTTCTTCACACTCATTCAAATATTTGCTAATCAGCCAAAACAAACACATACATCAAAAGGAATATTTAGAAACAGTATTTTCCAAGCAAAATTATCCTATGCTCATTGCTTTCTCCTACCTATTTTAGCACAAACTTCATCAAAGTTAAATGTGGCTTAATACATATAATATGGGTCAAAAGGGGCAGGAAGCACTGTTAGACGCAGCACATTCTGCTCTTAAGGAAGCAAGCACCTCAAAGTCTTTTCAAATGATGCCCCTCTGACAATGGGCTCTGAAATTCTCTCTTCAATCAACACAAGTAAGATGATTCTATAATGTGTTTGTTTGGTAATTGTTGTGTTGAGGAGTAAAGCATGGGTTGGAAAGGAAGGAAACCCCAGAAGTACTCCCCAATACACACCCTTGGAAAAAATACCATGTATTAAAAACATGTTCTGTATTTTAACAAATAATATAAATTCTTTAGGGGGTAGCAGAGTTAGTCTGTAACTGGAAAAACGTAAAAAACAATGAATAGTCTAGCAGCACCTTAAAGACTAACAAAACATGTACCCATGAAAGCTCATGATACCATCTACATGTTTTGTTAGTCTTTAAGGTGCTGCTAGACTATTCGTTGTTGTTTTTTTAAGTTTTTCCACATACATTCTGTAACTGATTAAACAATTACTATATTTTTAAATATGCTGAATGAATTACTGGTTCCACATCACCAGTTTACTGGATACTTAACTCTCTGGTTGAAATATTTCATTTTTAAATTTCTGGTGGAGAACCTTTCACATAAAGCCAGAGATTTTCACCTTGAATTCTACACAAAGGGACATTACTTTTCAGGTACAGTAACTGGAATTCTTCAAGATGTGTGGTCCATAAGAACATTTCACTGACGGTGCACATACAACTCATGAACCTGAGATATGGTCACGCTATCAATTTCCTAAAGTAAAAATAGGATACCTGGGACCCATCTGAGCCTGAGCCGTCTCCCCATTGCCCAGGACAGGCTTACCCTCCACCTCAGCTCCATGACACCCGCCCCAAGTTCTCTGTTCCCTTCCGCACAACTGGGGCTGAGTGCCCAACCCCCTAATACCCACAGCTGGGGCTAAGACTGAGCCCCATGTTGCCTCGGGCTGCAGCTGAACCTAAATCTCACTGCCAGCCCCTCATCTTGGGAAGAGCAAATGGAACAAATGCCGACTTTTCTCAAAAAACACTCAGGATAACTGGAACAGAATATAAAAATGGGACTCTCTCAGCCAAAACAGAATGTATGGTCCTTCTAGAATAGAGACTGGAGTATTTGGGGTCAGCAATACTCACACAGTGCACATGTAGCCCAAGCACTCATGCTCATGAGCCATTACACACCAGCTGCCACTTGGGTCCTTCTCACCACAGAACTCCAAAGAGGGACTTCAAGATAGAGGAGAGGGAAGGGCAGAAATGTAGAAAACACATCTCAAAGAACTTGTCACACTATACATAGTAAGTAACTTCTCTTCTCCTTCGGGTGATTGCCCATATTCATATACCATGGTGGTGACTCCCAAGAAGTGATTGTCTTCAGGAGGTGGGAGTTAAGAGTACTGTAATTAGTTAAAGAGGGAGTGGAGATCTGCTTTTCTAAATCCAAATTTGGGCCTGAAAGCCTCAGGCAAAGTGTAGTGCCTTGTGAGTACGTATGTTGAAACACAAGAAGCTGCTTTACAAATGCAGTAGAATCTCATTAGGTATGGAAGTTGCTCATAAATGAAAAATTTGGAAGTAAGAGACAGACTGATTGAGAGTCTCTGGGTAAGGATAAAAAGGGTAAAAGGCAAGAGTGATGTTATGATAGTGATCTCCTACACACCACCAAACCATGAAGAAGAGGTGGATGAGGGTGTGGGTTTTTTTTTTTTTTTTATAAAGACAACTAACAAAATCATCCAAAGCACTGGACTTGGTGGTAATGGGGGACTTCAACTTTCCAGACATCTGTTGGGAAAATAACACAGCAAGGCACAGATTATTTAACAAGTTCTTGGCACGCACTGAATACACTTTTTTATTTCAGAGGTAAAGAAAGCTACTGGGGGTAGGCTGATTTAAATCTGATTTTGACAGGAGGAACTAATTGAGAATTTGAAAGTGGAAGGCAGATTGGATGAAAGTGATCATGAAATGAGAGAGTTCATGATTCTGAGGAATGGCAGGAGGGAGAACAGCAAAATTAAGACAATGGATTTCAAGAAGGCAGTTATTAGCAAACTCAGGGAGTTGGTAAATAAGATACCATGGGAAGCAAATCTAAGAAAAAAACAATTGAAGACAGTTGGCAGTTTTTCAGAGAGACATTATTAAGGTCATAAGAGCAAACTATTCCATTGCACAGGAAAGATGGAAAGTATGGCAAGAAACAATCTTGGCTTAACCATGATAAAAGAAATTAGTTCAAATTACAAAGAATAAATGTAAATAAAATATCAAATAAATATCACAAGTATGCAGGAGAAAAATTAGAAAGACTAAGGCATAAAACAAGCTTAAATTAGCTAGAGACATGAAGGTAACAAGAAATATTCTACCAGTACATTAGAAGTACAGGAAGGCCAAGGACAGAGTAAGATCATTACTCAATGAAGAGGGAAAAATAACAACAGAAAATGTGGAAATGGCTGAGGTGCTTAATGACTTCTTTGTTTCGGGTTTCACCAAGAATGTTGATGGCAGTTGGACACCTCCTAACACAGTGAATGCCAATGAAAATGGAGTTGGACCAGAAGCGAAAATAAGGAAAGAACATGTTAAAAACAACTTAGACAAGTTAAATGTCTTCAAGTTGTCAGGGCTTGATTAAATGCATTCTAGAATACTTAATTAACTGATTGAGGGGATATCTGAGCTATTAGCTTTGAGAAGTCACAAAGTGGGAGAGATCCTAGAAGACTGGAAAAGGGCAAATACACTGCCCCTCTATTAAAAGGGATATAAGAACAACCCATGGAATTATAGACTAATCAGCTTAACTTCTGTACTGGGAAAGATAATTGTGCAAATAATTAAGGAATCATTTTGCAAACATCTAGAAGTAACAGTCAGCATGGATTTGTCAAGAACAAATCACAGCAAACCAACCTGATAACAGTATTTGACAGTGTAACAAGCATTGTGGACAGGGAGGTAGTGGTAGATGTGCTATATCTAGACTTCAGTAAGGCTTATGATACAGTCTCATATGACCTTCTCCTTAACCAACTAAGGCAATACAATCTAGATGGAGTTATAAGGTGAGTGCATAACTGGTGGCAAAACCATTCCCAGAGAGTAGTCAGTGGTTCATAGTCATCCTGGAAGGGTATACAGGCAGTCCCCGGGTTACGTACAAGATAGGGACTGTAGGTTTTTACTTAAGTTGAATTTGTACGTAAGTCGGAACTGGTGTCCAGATTCAGCCGCTGTTGAAGCTGACCAGCGGCTGACTACAGGAAGCCCGAGGCAAAGCTGCTCTGCCCCGGGCTTCCTGGAATCAGCCGCTGATCAGTTTCATCAGCGGCTGGATCTGGGCTCCTGGGACAGAACAGCTGGGGCGCTGCCGGGTAGGTCCCCGCAGTGCCGCACCTCATCG